TCCTCTGGGTGCCGTCTGCCGGACAATGCCAGTTGGTGACCACCCGGGGGAGAGCCTTTTCTGTTGCTACTCCGGCTCTGTGGAACGAGTTACCAACAGAGATCCGGACCCACCCCACCCTTGCAGCCTTCCAAAAAGCCACCAAAACCTGGCTGTTCCGGCAGGCCTGGGGTTGCTGACTTAAATCAGGTCACCCCCAATTAAACCGGATGTATGTTGTGTTTTTAAAATGTTTGTATTGTTTTATGTTCTCCCCCTGTATGTTATTTTATTTTATTCGTACGTGTAAGCCGCCCTGAGTCCCTCCTGGGATTGTGCGGCATATAAACCCATTAAATTGCTAAATTGCTATTGCATACAAAAATGTTTTCCATGCAATGCGGAGTAAATATTATGGCTACCATTTCCAGTCAGAGATCAGCAAAATAGATTAACGTGCATTGAGAAGCCATGTAATTTGGTGGATCTGAAATATTTACAAAGAGTTGAAATGGAACTTAGATTTTGTTATACATTAATCATAGATTAAAGGAACCAGTGTAAAAAAAATACTCAGTAAAATATCTTCAATTGCAGCCCTCACAACTTTTTAGAAGTACATGGCTAAATTTTTCCATCCATGTTGTAGAAATGGGAATCATAGTTCTAAGCATCTTGAAAATTCCAGACTCTGGGAAATCTCTTTTGCTTAACCCACAACAAAAAGGTCTGCCTGCTTACTGCCAATACTCACTGCAAATATTCTGACAGAGAAACTGATATAGTTCTGCCAGGCGTCACATAAGACATATGGCAAATAAAGAGTAAAATAGATAATTCCTCCACAAGCTGCTGCTATGTTGGCCCTGGAGAAGAAGGTGCTGATGAGGAAGCACTGTGAGATGGTTACTACACCAAAGAGAGACAGGAAGACGAAAATCACAGTGGGGTCACTGTAGGGCAGCAAGTTTCCTTTCTGGATAAAAAAGAAGAGGAAGAGGAAATAAGTTTGTGTTGCACCAAACAATATACTGTTTTAAAAAAATACTACTACTACAAATGGCTGCAGAGCTTTGTCAAGTATATTTTCAGCATCCAAGTTTAGTTTTCCCCCCAGGTAAGAGGCGAAGAAGACTAATGACCTTGCACTATCCATATTCTTCTTCAAATATGTTAGATGTCTACACCGATCTGTTACTGGCTATCTTTTTCTTTGTCGTTTTCCAAGAATTCATAGAAATATTTTGGAGGCATCCAACTTTAACCCTAACCCTAACCCTTTCTATCAATGACTCTTCAGGTTCCCAAGGTTGAGAGACACTGGTATTGAGGAAATAGATTCATGTTCTACATCAGATTTCCAGCCCAGCACCTTCTAGATAGGTTGGGCTATTCCTGTAACCTTGAACCATAATTGTCCTTTGCCCACTGAGAATTAGATTGGCTAGTTGTCTACTGGATTCTGAGGGTGCAAGTTTGGGGAAGAGTTCTTAATATTTTTAACCACAATATTAATCCATCAAGAAAGGTGTGTGTGTGTGAAACCAGTCTCACCTTAAGAATGAATGTCAGAAACCCTGCGCTCATGAGAATGGGGATGAGGCTACTAATGAACCAGCTAAGCCAGAGGGTGCCATTGTTGAGGCCCATGATCCTCATTGTCTCTTTCAGCCGCGCTTCCTTTTCATATACAATCCCCTTGATGATCACTGCTACTGAGTAGATCCACGCCAAAGTCATGAAAATAGGCATTGACCGGCTCAAGACACGCAAGAATCTAGAAAGGGAACAGCAGGCAAACAAAGGTTTGGGAAGATATTTTCAGAGGCAGCTGCTATTGTTTCTAAAGACTCTTGGACTCAGGGAATTAAAAACAATTCCTAGGAAGCATCCGTGTCACCATCTTGAAGGTATCTGCTTCCTTTGAGATGGTTGAAGGAGGCTTCTGACAACACCTTCCCCTCAGAGCATTGTACTAGGGACTTAGCAGAAATTCTTATTATATCCTCCAGCTAAGGTAAGGTATGATTTTAAATTTGTCACAATATAGCTGGTTCTACATTAAGGCGGAATCAGAAATATCAACAGGATATTCATCTAATAAGTCTTACGTGTCATCCACGTAACATGGATAAGGCATCTGCTGAACATAGACACCAGTTTTCTTCTCAGAGCCTGTCAAAGTCCGGATGATTGCTTGTTCTATTACATCCTGCAAGTAAGTGAAGCCTCCCCAAATGTAGCGCATGTCGTCAAAAGGATCAGCTCGAGGACCTGGGTCCCAGAATCTGCAAGAACAGAAAAGAACAGTTTTACTCTTGTAGCGATTGTAAATTAAAGTTCTCAAGTCTGAGGCTACAGTCAGACTCTTAGGAAAGCTTCTTCAAGGAATGCTCACTTGTCCTTAATTTTGTTGGTCCTTTCCACGCTGTCGATATCCATCCGTATCTTATACTTGACATGATGGGGCAAATCCACACTCTTAGGAGCAACTTCAGGGAAAATTATGCCAGCCCAGAATCGTCTCTGGTCCAGCAGTTCCATGGATTTGCTGACAAGCCGCCCTTCATTAGGCACAGCTTCCAACTTGTTCAAATTGATGCACTAAAAAAGCAACAAAGAATTGAATTAGAAGCTGAAGTTTATTGGGGGGGGGGATGGAAATCAAAAATATCATTTTTTCCCCTAGGAAATTATTTTCTAACTTTGATTCAGGGTGATTTTTTTTTTGCTTATTTTGCTGTATATCATAGTTTGTGGTGCTTAGAGAGCCTTGGTTAAAAGCATTTTTTTCTACAACCAAGCCTGTTCTTATGTTATTTTAGTCAAAAGTCAAAAGTCCTATCTGACTTCTCACAACTTAATTTGAAAAGTAGGAAACCTTCCAGACACTTCAGACTGCAGTTTCTAAAATATTAAGACAAAATGATCGATGGTTAGGGATAATCAAAGCTGGAATCCAAAACAGCTTGCCTCCAAAAGTTGTGAATGCCCCAACACTGGAAGCCTTTAAGAAAATTTTGGATAGTCATTTGTCTGAAACAATATAGGGTTTCCTGCCTAGGCAGGGGGTTGGACTAGAAGACCTCCAAAGTCTCTTCCAACTCTGCTATTGTATTGTATTGTATTGTATTGTATTGTATTGTATTGTATTGTATTGTATTGTATTGTATTGTATTACTTATAAAGAACCAGTTTGTCTAACCTATTGTCAACAATAGGTTAGTGCCTTTCATATACACCACTTTTCTTACACAAAACAAAACAAAAAACTCCAGGATCCCTTGAACAACTGATGTGACAGAGCATTTATGGGTTACTATTCTCCCTTTAGGAGACGTAATCTCTCTGTGAGGGACAGATAAGTAACAATAAAAGAGATTGTTTACAGCTCAGGGTTGAAATGAGGCGTCCTTGGTGCTCTCTGAGCTTGGTTGTTTCTTCACAGGCATTTCATTATCCAAACTAGGTAACATCATCAGTACTAGGATTGATAGTGTTACCTATTTTGATAATGAATTGTCTGTAAGAAAACAACCAAGCTCAGAGAGGACCAAGGACCCCTCACAGATAAGTAACAGCTAACAACAACAATAATAATAAAACTCAAAACAAAAACAAATCCCAAAACTCAACTACCACCATAATCTCTAATTCAAAAAAATCATTGTACATGTCTTTGGAAATAGTTTCCCTTCCTTTCCCTTTCTACATTTACAAAGTAAATCACTATTTACTTTGGACTCCATCATCCTAACAAACACAGAAAATAAAATAAATAACCTCCATCAAGAATAGGAGACTCACTTCCATAAAATGGGAAATAGTCATAATGGTTCGATCTGTTTCATTGAATGCATCCCGCCAGGTGTAAACAGAGCCATTCACTGGACCAACATCCTCAGGGTGTTTTGCCAAGAATTGGGCAATCTCCTCCCTGCTCCATCTTGAGTTGACCATGTACTGGTTCCAAAGATTCTCACTCTTCAGCAAAACCTACAGTAACCAAAAGAGCAAAAGGGTTTAGTTAAACTGGTCCTGAAAAGAGGGGGGGAAAGAAGAGCTACTATCATTCATTCATTCTTTCATTCATTCATTCCACTTGAAAGTGCAGCTTGTTGTTAAAGAATAGGGAAGCTATGATATAGCAGTTTGCTATGTAAGGAGAAAACAATAACATTACCATTTCTACCAATGTTTAGTGATAATTTCGAACAGATGTTCACAGCAACCTCCCCCAGCCTATTAAAAGTCTTTGGGCAATATGGTTCCAGGGAATGGAGGCAGGGAATGATGGGGAATTGCACTCCAATATGTTCGCCAGATAGAGAAGACTGTTGGTGTGCAGAAACCCTATAGGAATTTTCATTTCTTTTTATGGCTGGGAACATATTAAAACTGCTTGGAATTTAATACTGCTCTGGTCTTTTCCTAAGAACTTAGATTATTGGAAAACTTGGAATATTGGTTAGATCAGTTGCTAATTTTGTTGCCTTTCCACCGTTCCTCAACCTGCCATGTTGTCTGCCTCATGAATCTTAGTAAGGAAAACATTTATGCAGGAGATCTGGAGCGAGGTCTTTGCAGGACCCCTTACGAATCACAGGAACCTTGTACACTTATGGGAGGAGGTAAAAATCAGTGTCTTTTATCGCACCCACACAAGTGTAGGCTCAGGGCATGCTTTCAATGCTGGATCCACCAGGTGGCAACCTCGTATAAGATCTCCAGAAAACCAGGTCGCATTGAACAAAGAAACAAACATTTCTGAAGCCAGAGGAACAGGATGGGAAAGAAGAAATTGTTTCCATTTGTATGACCAAAATGGGTCAAGGGTTTTTTTCTTTCTTTCTAAAAGCTCAGGCTGCTGACTGGCCATTTCAATCCTTGTGTATGGAGTAAAACTGCTAAGAATTTTCATGGAGCAGTTTTTCCATCTTTATTTAGAAACAAGTCCTACTCAATTCTTAGGTACCGGGGGTACAAAACTACAACGCAATTTTTCCAGGACTGGTTTCAAGTGACACAAATTATTTCTGCCAGCAAAAAACACCAAATTGTGAGTCCATGCTGGCAGGATAAATTCTGAAGTGGTTCTGCTCCTGCTTGGGCAGGGGGTTGAAATAGATGGCCTCCAAGGTCCCTTCCAACTGTTCAACTGTTACTTCAAACTGTGCTATCTTCATGGAGATGCAGCCTAAGATAGGGTTGCCTCCCTTCCCCACCCCGAACTGTAACCTCTTTTGCATGGCTGCTCCATCTACTATAACAATAGCAGTTAGACTTATATACCGCTTCATAGGGCTTTCAGCCCTCTCTAAGCGGTTTACAGAGTCAGCATATTGCCCCCAACAACAATCCAGGTCCTCATTTTACCCACCTCGGAAGGATGGAAGGCTGAGTCAACCCTGAGCCAGTGAGATTTGAACAGCCGAACTGCAGAACTGCAGTCAGCTGAAGCTCACTTTTACACCATGATCCGGATAGTCCTCAACTTACAACCATAAGTGAGCCCAGAATTACGGTCACAAGTCATGTTAAATGTGTCAGCAAATGACTGCACCCAATTTTGCAGCCTTTTTATGGCAGTTATTAAGCAAACACCATGGTTGTTACATGACTTTGACTGCAACAGGCTGCTTGCCAGAAACATAAATAAACCAAAAATGTCACAAATTGCAATCGTGTAACCGCGGGATGCTGCAGATGGCCGTGAATGCAAGCTGGTTGCTGAATACCCAAATGCAATCACGTGACTGTGGGGGGGGGCTGTCCATCAGAACTTTAAATCCAGGTCACAAGTAGCCCGGGACAACCAGCTGTAGGTTGAGGACTACCTGTATTTTTGCACTGTTTTGGTTTGGGGCAAATCCAGCTCCACTTTCAGTTTCTTTTTTTCCTTTTCTGCTTTTATTTTAGGGTTCACATAGCCCCAGACACTCGAATGTTGAATTAGAAGGCAAATTGATTACATGGCATTTGCAGAAGGTCCCTGATATTGACAAAAAGCCTTTGACCAGTTGGGACCTTTTTATTTCTCCCTTCTGGTTTCCTCAACTTCACCCTTCATTTCTTTGTGAAATTATCCTTTTTCCCAGAAAGAAAGCTAATGGTGTCTAGCAGGGATTGCAGTGAAAAGCAAATGAACTGGGAAGGTCATAGGATTGCATATAGTCAAATAGCCTATTATATTTTTTAAGGTAAGGAGCAAAAAATATCTAGCAGTGAGAGCAACTGCTAGAAAGAATGGCTGCCAGCAAACAAAAGGAAAGCAGTGTGGTTACATTTACTCCAGCTGTGAAAACACCCAAAAGCAGGTCACATTGACCTGGTTGCCTTGAAAGCAGTACTTTTTTTTACATACATTTTACATACATTGTCCTGATAATTTCATCAGAAACAACTAGGGGCCAGATCATGAAGTGACAACCAAAGACTGACGATTATGTCCCGGTCGTGAAACTAGAAACTAAAATCATGCTCATATGATGCAGGAGACTACTAGGAAGAAGCAGGGAGCAATTAGAACCAAGAACCTAAGTTTTCAACAGAAAAATATCTGTATAGATTTTGCACTGAAGATAAGAAGAATAGGGAAAAGCAATAAGAACGTGAACAAGAAATAAAGAAAAGAATTCCACATGGGTTTTTTAAAATAACTATAAGCCAGCATGGGTTTGTTAAAAACAGATCATGCCAAACCAATCTTATTTCATTCTTTGACAAAGTGACTAAATTAATAGACCAGCAAAATGCTGTGGGCATAATAAACTTCAGCAAGGCATTCAACAAAGTAGACCACAACCTACTTCTTGATAAGCTAGAAATATGTGGGATAGACAGCACCATCACCAGATGGATTTGTAACCGGCTGACAAACCATACTCAATAAGTCATTCTTAATGGTACTACGTCTACATGGAGGAAAGCAAGCAGTGGGGTAACAAAAGGTTCCATCCTAGACTCACTATCTTCATAAATAACTTACAGTAGGTGAGGGAGTAGAAGGGGAACTCATCAAATTTGCAAATGACACTAAGCTGGCAGGAACAGCCAACATGCCTGAAGACAAGCTCAGGATCCAAAAAGACCTTGACAGACTTGAACATTGGCCCTATCCAACAACATGAAATTTAACATGGAGAAAAACAAGGTTTTACACTTAGGGCAGGAAAAACCAAAGTACAAGTACAGATTAGGTGAAACCTGGCTCAAAAACAGTAACTGTGAGAAGGACCTTGAAATCCTAGTCAACGATCCCTTAAATATGAGCCAGCAGTATGCAGCAGCAGCCAAAAAAGGTAATACAATCTTTGGTTGTATAAACAGAGGCATAGAATCAAAATCACATGATGTTAGTACTGTTTTATAAAGCCTTAGTAAGGCCACACCTGGAATACTGCATCCAGTTTTGGTCACCAGATTACAAAAAAGATGTTGAGGCATTGGAAAAAGTGCAGAGAACAGCAACTAAGATGACTAAAGACCTGGAGACTAAAATATATGAAGAACAGTTGGAGGATTTGGGTTTGGCTAAAAAAGAAGGACTAGGGAGGATATGATAGCAGTATTCCAATATTTGAGAGGCTGCCACAAAGAAGAGGGGGCCAACTTATTTTCCAAAGCATCAGAAGGCAAGGCAAGAAACAATGGATGGAAACTAATCAAGGAGAGAAGCAGCCTGGAATTAAGGAGAAGCTTCCTAACAGTGAGGACAATTAACCAGTGGAACAGCTTGCCTTCAGAAATTGTGGGTACTTCATCATTTGAGGTTTTTTAAAGAGAGTCTAGACAGTCACTTGTCTGAAATGGTATAGGGTCTCCTGCTTGAGCAGAGGGTTGGATCCAAGATCCATTCCAGCTCTATTCTGATTGGTTAGTTCTAAGCAGTTTCTGTTGGATTAAAATCATCTTTATAGATATGCCATCTCTGTTTATATAATGCATGGATACTTAAAAAGCATAAAAAGTCTCATACAAAGATGAGACTTTATAAATTAGAAATCAGCAAAAATCAGCTACCTAGAGTTGCTGCAACAGTGAGATGGGTAACATATACTGGTAACTTTAATAAATAAATGACAATTGCTTAGATTAAAATGCAGGTTTTCAGGGCAGATACTGCTTGATGAAATTATTTTCAGACAATGCCATATGGAACACACACTATAGGTAGGTAGGTAGGTAGGTAGGTAGGTAGGTAGGTAGGTAGGTAGGTAGGTAGGTAGGTAGGTAGGT